TATCCACATCAGAGACAAAATTGTAATTGAGCTTCTTTCTAGTAATCTATACTAAGAGGCAGAGGTCTAAAGGAAAACACAGATCAAGTGTCTTAGAAGTGGAAAATAACTGCAGACAAAAAATCAAAAGAGACTACAAAGTTAGGTGAACCCAGAAGTGTAATAAAAATCTGCTGTGAGTATATGGTTTATGAAAAAAATAATGAATTTTATTGGAGCTTGAATACTTATTTAGGGTTTATTTTTAAGTAAGATTGCATGTGTTTTTTTAGCTCATCCACCCTTTCCTAATCTCATACTCTGGATGTTATATGGATTCAAATATTAATTACCACACACAGCAGAAAAGTTCTCGAGTTTTTTTCTCTTTAGAAGAGCAGCCCAAGAAGGAGGGCTCTTAAATAAACCCACATTTTACTGTTCAGGTTCTGAGATAGAATGCCTTGAAATTTCTGTAGAAAGCAAGAAAAATTTAGATTTGATATGTAGTTGAGTACGTTATAATAAGGAAAACAAAAATAGCCAGCTCCAGGAGACAGACTAATCTGATCCCACACTCTAAGCAGAAGCATCACCAAGTCCCTGCTTTAGAGATGACCAGAAAAACCCTCTCCTTGTCCAGATCAACCTCCAGTTTGAGCCTTGCAACTGAACCAGGCATGAAAAGCTATGTGGGGACAACTTCTGTTGGGAATTGAACTTGTTTAAAGATGTGAGTTGGCTTAGCATGAACATTTAATTTTGGGAAGGGTGGAGATAGGTGGCAAGGGCTCAGTGCCTGTCCCTACACTCGGGTGAGCTGGTGACACAGGAGAAATGGAGTGAACAAGAGTGGTAGACAATGGAACAATGGGTGGGAGCTTCCCCAGGCAAGCCTGAGCACCTCTGTGTCAGATTTATGCTCTCCAGAGGGCTGCAGCAAACACCAGGGCCCACAGCCAGCTCCTGCTCCCACTAATGACATTTTTAGAGGGTGAAGACCTCATTGAATCCATTGATGTTGACCCACGGGGCTCCATTTTCTCTGTGCTGCTCAGTGAATTAGGCAGGCAAGTGCTATTAATGAGAACAGGAGATGTGTATATCTAGTTTCTGACTCTCAGGGTTGCTAACACACCCCATAATTTGAGAGAATTATGTCTTAAAGGCTGTGCTATGATAGGGAAATCACTTGTGATTAAACAATGTGTAAGTGGTAGAAAAAGCTTTGTTCTAAGGTTGAATGAATTCCTCTAACATGGACTTTCAAGCAAGTTTTGGATTGAAATCTCACATTTGGAAATACCTAATTTAAAATAAGAGCTGCTATCTCAGGTGCTCTGGAATACAGAAATGAGGAGGCCTATTCCTGTGAAGTGCCTGTCTCAATTATTTTTGTCTGGAATCTGCTGCCCTAGTTAGTAAAAACCTAAGACATGGACACTTAGGTGTTTTAAGTGATTATAATGATTAAGAGAAGGATTTCTGTGCTGCTCTTTTCAAGAAGAGGTGGGTACTCATAAAAATCCAAGTGACCTAGCACCAATGCCATTATTTTAACTGACATCTGTGAGCATATTTTCTTAGGTTGCATCAAGACAGATGAGGGTCCTTTGTGCCCTTCTGACAGTGATGGCAATCATTAAAGATTTACCAGGGTCATTAAAGTGAGAAATAGCAGTAATGCAGAGCTGGATATCACCATCCCATGTGGATTCCACTGAAGTGCAAAGAAAGCCAGCACAGAATAAGCCAAGATCCCGCTCTGCCACCTTAACCTCATTTTACAGAATAAAGGAAAAGGGGGAAAAAAAAATAAATTAAAAATCACAGCTTGTCTAGAACACATGAGAGAAGCACATTTCACTTTGCCAGTAAAGGACACATTTCCCTCCTTGTTAAAGCACTCCCTGTGCTCCCACACAGTGAGAGCTGTGTGGGACCCAGTGTCACTGAGCTGGTGCCAGCCCAGAAAATGTCTCTGCCACTTTCTCCTGGGGCATTCCTGCCTGGGAGACCTTGAGGTGGAGCTGCCAGGCACAGCCCACCCACCTTGGCTGGCTGAGAGTGAGCAAAACAATTCCTGGGTCAGGAGGTTGCACCTGACAGCCCAGCCAAGCCTGGGGACTCTTCCCACGCCTCCTGCCTTCCTCTTACTGCTCTCTCCTCTGAGCTTGAACCAGATTTTTGCTGCTCATTATTGACTGTTCAAATCCAGTTTTGAAGCAGCATCCCACCACACCTTTGAAATTTTATTGTTATAAAGGCACCGTGGCTATTTTTAGCAAAGATCAAAAGAATGCAAAGAAACAAACAGCTGTAGATTTAATCAGCTTTAACATGTTTAACTACAAGCCTGATGACTCAGAAGGCACACACCTTGCCAGAGCAGATATATGTAAATTATTCTAAGGTAAAAAAAAAAATAAAAATTTAAGATCATAATTGCACACGTGTTCAATTATTATAATACCTTGTGAACTGACATCACAAAAATTGCTGGGAAAAAAAGGTACAGGGGCTTCTAACCTTGCTTTGATTCTCCCATTCATTCTATCAAATGAAACAGGAAAGCGATCTCCTACGGAAATCAGTCACTGCTCTTGTTTTAATCCCCCCCTTTTGATTTTCCAAGCAGCTCAGATTAAAGCTAGACCTTTCTCCCGTGTGTGATGTGGTGCCTGGCTGCAGGGCTGTGGGCAGGAGCAGCACAAAGCCCTTTGTCTGCCAGGCCTGTGCTGAGCAGCCAGCCCTCATCCCAGGGACAGTGCCAGGCTGCTCAGTGCTGCTGGAAAAATGTTCCCTGTCAGTCACCTGAAAAATGAAACAACTCCCAGCACCGGGCAGGGGGGCAAAAATAATCCTGGGTTAAAAATAAACCCAAGTGTGGAGATGGCTCTGGGCACGCAAACGCACACTCATGCACACCTACCTTTGTAAATACAGGAATAATACACAGCAGCTCTGAGTGCTCCCCTTGAGCCAATTACATGTGAGCACTCTCCTGCATTATGGATGCTGGGTTTGTTGAAGCTGTGGCACTCTGGAGCTCGAGTCCCTTTCAAGATAACTTTTGCCAGTCATGCATATCCCAGTGAAAACAAAAAATCCAAACCCAAACACTTCATGCTCCTATCTCCTCACACCTGATATATTGGTCCTTCGGAGTCAGACATAATTAACACGTGATGCACAAGGCTGAGCATGTTTTAAACATATGTTTGACATGGTGCAATCAATCACAGTGCAGCTGATAGCTGGTGTACACTGGCAATGCCCCCCAGGCTCGTGCAGTGCTGAGATAAATGCATTTCCCAGGTCACTGGAGGCACTCACTTCACCTCCTGCCTCATGATACTTCCAAGGAGCGTGTTATCTCGGGGTAACACATGTCTGCTGCTACCTGGCTCTTTAATTACTGTACACAAAATTCCAAATCAGAGCAATTGGCATCTCAAGGCACTGCCGTGCGCTGCAGGGTCTCCCCCATGTAAGTGAGCAGCTGATGCAGGAAACAGAACGACCTTGAGAGAGATTTCTCCCCAAAACTGATGGTGTCTCACGACTTTAAAAGCACAACCCGATGAAGAACACAATATAAATATTGTAATTACATTTTAAGCTCATAAATTCACAACGGTTTGCAATTCGTTTTTAATATGTAATTTCTCCGTACAAAAGGTGGTTTTTGGGAAAATATACTAATCAGGATCTCTCAAAATACTTTCTTTAGGTCATTTCTTAGTAGTAGTGAATGCTTCAGTCATTCTTAGAGATAGCTTTGCACGAGTGGAACCAGCACACACAGACACAAGCTTGCCATTGGGTACCTGCTCTCTGGGGTTTGAACACTGAAAACACTGAGCATCTGCAGGAGAGCATCTTGCTACAGACACCCAGCTGGTTGCACATTTCTTCTGTGGCAAAGCTGTTCTTGGTCATGTGATGCATTTTCTCCTAACCAAACCCATTGCTGCAAGCAATAGGATCCTTCATCAGTTGCTGTTGTCCATCACTCCAAAAAGAAGTAAGGAGAAATCATAATCATGTGCTTCCAAGTAGCTCAGAAAAAAATTCAGTAATTTATTCATATCAGATTTTCACTGATTTTTTTTTTAATCCCTCAAATATTGGGAAATATCGTGACACATTTATTTACCATAAATCAGGAACTTTGTGAGCAAATGAGGAACTTTGTGGGAACAGAAGGCTTTTATAATCTCTGTGCTATTCTGAACTACAGCTGCACCTCCAGTTCTATTCTGACCCTGAGAGCAGTTGGTCCTGACTTGTCATGGGATGAAAAACCATGACTTGAATTGCTTGAATTTGGGATGGCAATTTGTTATCCAGGCTGCTTGATACACTGCACACCAGACAATACCTTACCATAGTTCAATAAAGGAAGATATAAAATAAAAAAATGTTTAAAAATCAAATAAAAATATTTTTTTAAAAAAACATATAGAGCCCTTCAGAACGAATAAAGGTGACTTATTGCAGTCCCCAACCTAAGAGCAGGTTCATTAATACCTAATCCCCATGGTGAGGGATGTTTGTGCAACCCATTCTTTTACATAATCAAAACTGCCTTAGCATAAATGAGGAGCCAAGACACAGTAACATTTATAACTAAATAAAGGGACTAAAAGGTTAAGAAAGCGTCAACAACATCAATTAGCTCTTAAAAAGCAATAGTCACAATATTTATTTTTTTTCCCTTGAATCAGGTTATCTTCTAGAGGCACATGAGCCCTTCTAATCAATTATTTATGAACACATGCAACTTGAATTCTGATTTGTTTTTTACTTGGACAAGACATCTAAACCAGGACTTCTCTAAATATTGCTCTTCTCTTTAATCCTTCTCTTTTTTTTCTTTTTTTTTTTTTTTGTGTTGATATCTCCATATGTTATTAAAAGTAATTTATGAAGATACCCAGTCCTACAAACTGGAGTTTATTTAGTGTCTATCTACTTTTACAAGTCAAACTGCCTAAAAGGGAATGAGTTTTTGACAACCAGGTTTGAGACAAACTAAAATGGCTGAATCAAAACTAAATTGGCTCCTTACAATTTTCTTGTGCAAACCAATGTTTCTGAGGTCCTCATATCTATGCTGAAAGCATTTTAGGGGTTTTCCTTTGGCCTACAGTCTGCCTGCCTGGACGTCCCCACTGCTCCCATGGGCCTGAGATAGTTTAAAAAGACCATTTTAAAAAGAAATTACACTAATTTCTCATTTCTGAGGAGAAGTTAATTTCCCCTTGAAAGGAAGGCAGTTCACATGTAATAAAGAGGCTGTTTGTAGGAGCACACTCACACAATATAACCAACCAAACCCACCAACCCCAAACATACAAGCAAAAAGCCATCAAACCCACATCATCTCTTGGATGGATATTTTTCCAGCTCTAAAAGGTGTTGCCACAACTCTTGCCCACCTGTGATTTTTCAGCATCACTTTCCATTATGATCCTTCTCAGCTGTGAGAAAGGAGAAGAATTATGAGCTCTTTCACAAAGGATTTAGTTTTATTTTACTCAGGATGAGAAATTAAGGATGCCCTGACTGACAGCATGTGGTTTCTATTTCTGTTTATAAGCAGCCTTACAATAGTAGGTCAAAAGGATTAGAGGAAGGTCAGTGTTACTGTTTCTAGAGGAAACCAGGAATTGTAGATTCCCTTCAATGTTGCTTTCCAAAGAAAGTGGAAATCTTTATATGACAGGGTTTTTCAAACACCTACTCTTATTCACTTTTTTTTTAGTAATTGAAGTAAAGGAGAGAATTGTGGGATTGTTTACTTATTTTTTCATTTTCATCTATTACAAAATAATCATTGTACACAGAGGAGAAAAGTTAATCCGCTGTCCAATATAGGCCCTGATTTTTTTTTTTTGTAACTACAAAGAAAAGAAACAATAATATCAGTACAACACACATACTATTTAAGGCATGGAGAAGCTGTAGTATCTCTGAACAACAGCACAAATATCACAAAAGAATAAGAAGTTTTCTGCAGTTCAGTGTTTTCATTTTCCAGCCTCTCACAACAGCCTGACCTTGATGTTCAACAGCACCATAGGTGAAAAACCCTGCTCAGTTCATGTGGTTTTACATCAATTATTGATTTATTGACAACTAACAAATAATTGCCAATCCTTGACCTGTCTATGCAGATCAATTCCAACAACAAAGCAGATGAGACCAGTATTTTGGGCAATTGAGAAATGTTAATTTTTGCTAACAAACATCCAAGCTCCATGCTGCTCTATCATTTCTTTTCAAGCTGAGGCCTTTTTCCAAAGTTTCCCTGCAATTCCCTGGTTTTTGTTTAATTCAGCTGATGATTGACTCCCTGTTTAGCATGATGGGTGTTCGATGTGAGTGGAGAAACTGCATCCTCTACACAGCAGAGCAAACTGGGCCCATTTGAATTTTCTGCATTGCACAGTGCAAGCCTCACTCTATTAGGAGCTATTTCTCCTTCCAGAAAAAAAAAAATTAAAAAATACTGTAATGCTCCAGTTGCTTTTAATGGTTGAAAAATCACGTTCCCCTGAGTGAGAAGATAAGCTGAGAGGATTTTTAATTAAAGCTCACTCTTCCTCATCTTTATCCCAAAGGTCTGCTTCATGCTACAAGCCAATCATTCCCTGACGCTCCAGACGCCTCGCAGGGTACCTGGGTGCTCTCTTTCATAAAAAACAAGGTTGCACGTCACAGACACTTCCTGAATTCAACTAAACAAACACATTTGTGCCAACCAACCTGCAAAATGACATTGTTGCTCTGCTGCATGGAATGGATGCAGCACATTTCAGAGGGTTCCAGCTGGAAACGGCTCCAGCAGGGACATTCCAGCTGGCATGGGCTGAAGTCAGGGGTGACCACTGCAACACCAAGCAGCACCAAAGCTTCCAGCAGGCTTCAAAATATCAGGTACACGTCCTCTAGTTCTTGGCCCTGAGATGGTTTGACCCTGGAAGTGCAGATTTACAGAAGGAAGAGGTGAAATAAAAGAGAATAATTGAATGGGAATAAATTTATAGATACAACATAGCGACACAAACCACCTAAAGAATCAGGGCTTGTCCAGGGACTTCACTGAAGTTGCTCAAGGCATGGAATTTATCCCAAAGGTCAGGAATATCACTGACAGGAACTAAACCAAAATTAACATCTGGCAGGTCAAAACTGGTGCCAATTAATCCAATGCTGTCCCAACCCCAAAACTCTGCTTCCAAAAAGGCAGAGGTGCTCTGCTCCTCAGCAAAAGCTGCACTAACTTTTTTGTACAGATTCCATGGATGCATTTGGCTGTGCTCACAGCCAAAGAAAAGTGGGTAAAAGAAAAATAAAGAAAACCTAGAAACTCACTTACTGTTGCCTTTAATGGCAGTATGACAAATATATATTATATAAATATTATTATGTATTATAGATATTACATGTTTTAAATATTATATATATAAATAGATATTATATAAATATAATAAATAACCTACATATGTAGGTTTCTTACATGAAAATAACTGAAGAAGGAAAAAGAGTGTAAAAAGAACCAGCTAAAGCCTAGACAAACTAGGTCTGTGTACTTAAGCAGAATACTTAAATATGGTGAACTGAGCTTTTTTTATTTGTCTTTTCCTCAGTCTGTGCTTATATCGTGGGGTTTTTGAAGGTGAGGAAGGTACCAAGGCACTGGGGACACAATTTTCACTGCTTTTCTCCCTCTCCCATTTTTAACATGTTTTGTTGAGATAACATTTTGTTTAGATAATGTTTTGGTTAGATTGGCTGAGGTTTTTAATTATTATCTTTACCACAACCTTGTTTATGTTGCAATGTTCATGATTTTGCCCTGAACTCCTTTGATTACTCATCATATTTTTACGATTTCCATTTGCAGCACTGTTACGTTTTGATCTTCTGCTGTTTGCCCGTATGTTTAAAGATTTCCAAACTAATTAAGACCATTAACTAAAAAAGACTAATTGCATTCATAAATAAGACGTGGCACTTCTGATTAGCAGGTGGCTCCTTTCTGGTTTGGATACATAAAAGCAGATGGAAATGTGGCAGACTTAGTTATATTTAATGTGCCCACTTCTTTCCAGACTGCTCCTCTTTCCAGCTAATGACAATAAAACAATAAAACATATAAAGTCTTCAGATTACTCCTTTTTTTTTTTTTTTTCTTAGTTTTGCCACCTTTCATTTGCCATTCTTGATTAAGAGTTTCCAAACAGTTTTTCCTAAATGTTTTGTCGTTTCTATTTACAGGCTTTAAGGTGCTTGGAAGAGCAAGAGGATCAGAAATACTCAAAAGTAAGAAATCTGCTTCTCAATTTCACATATAATCAATGGTATAAATAATTTTTAGTGATATTTTTAAAGAAAATGTGCTTAAAAAGACAGTTTCTATTCTTATTTTTTGCTGTATGTTCATATAAAAGCAGACATTTATCACTGCTGTCCCTATAGCCAAGATTTTTTTTATTATTATTATTTTCATATATTTTCTCCAGTGCCCCAAAATCACTTTTCATAATGCAGAATTAATTCTTACCCAATGCATTGAGGATATAAAGAATAAATTTCTTTGTTGCCCTGACAATCAATGACAATTTTAGCACTGCACAAATGGAAAAAAAACCCAGCAAAACAACAAAAACCAACTGTACAACCACATGACAGTGTGGGAAATTATCATTTATGGGTGCCTGAGGAATGTTAGTAATTTATAAATTTTATATCTAAAATAAATACACCACCTTGAAGTTCAGGAGAACAATTTCACAGTTTGAGTGTGTTTGGAGAACAGAAGTTCAAAAAGAATCCAACATTGTGCTTATTGTATAAAACTCCTTTCTATACACTTATATGAGAATAGCCCCAGAAAAGATTACCTGGGATTTATGCAAGTGAATTTTGTTTCTACTAGCCCAAATTATCTATTTGACACTAAATTTTGGATGGTGCAGCACTTTTAAGTGGAAGTATTTCAGGGCAAGTGAGAGGAGCAAAAAAAAGTAAAAAAATCAGGCCATAGAGACTAAACTATGTTGAAGCAAAAAATCCTGAAATTCTTCCCTACCAAATTCTGGTGCTGTGATTGTCTTCAGTACATCTGACCACACAATTTTTATGTAAATATATGAGAAAGTAGTGAAAATGTTGAGCTATCTGTTGCCTAGCAGCTTCATATTTGTTGTATCATGCAACCAAAAGCTGGTTAGAGGATAATACAGACAGAGTGTGACACAGCATCTGTTGTTTAGAGTAATGTGAAAAAAAGAAAGAAAAAGTCAGCAGACAAAGATTACAGGGTGGTGATGGTCCAGAATTTCACCTGCATCCAAGAGCAAGAAGGATTCCCCTAACTCTGGGCCCCTTTTATTTCAGTTCTCACACACAATAGGGCTGAAATGCAAAGATGTGTAGCTTTCCAGATAGTAGGAATGAGAAAGTGTCCTAAGCCCCAACCACAAATTAAAAGGATTGCCACGGCATTCAAAATAGAAAAATGTGACACCAGGGGATTTCCTGAATTCAGAGCTTTTAATATATCCACTAAATTGTTGTGAGTAACAGTATGCTAGGATTATAAAATAACTTCAGACTGCCTTGTTTTTAATTCTTATTCAAGATATCTGCCTTCAGCAAAAAGTTTAGATGCATAAGGACTTGAGGATTTCATGAGTGCAGCTCCATAAAAACACATACTTGCTGCTCAATAAACAAAACCTGAAAGTTATGCTGGCCAATAAATCTGAGTAAGTGCTCTTAGTGCAGATGCTATTGAGCACCAGCATCCTGCATCAGCTGTTCAGAGGCCTGCTGTAAGGAACAGGATGACTCAGGGAATTGGTAATGGGATCCAGAGCCTTTCACCCCCGGGTCAATCGTTATAATGTGAAACAGAGCAGGAGTCAGTGCCGTGTCAGCCCCGTCTGCTGCCTGCAGCCAAATCAGTCTGTGGCCTCCAGACAATTCTGCACAAGAAACACTGGAACCACGACAGGCAAACCCCTGGCACTGATATCTGGCACCAGCAAAAGAATGGGAAAGCTCTCTGGGGAAATATGTGGTGCTTTTAAAATACTTAAGGGGAAGAGTTTCAGTAAAGAAGTTAAGGGAAAATGATTTGCAGCAACTTTTCATCTTTGTATGGTGCTGGCAACTCTTGTGGGCTTGAAGCTACTTGAAGCTACTTAAAACATTCACCATTCACAAAGAATATCAGACAAGGCAAATTTTGTGTCCCATATATAAATACTGGGCAGAATCCACAACCTGCACACATCAATGCACTGTGTGGGGTCACCTCTGTAACTACACACAACCTTCAGCTGCTCTGACATAGCTCAAGCCTGAAGAGAGATGTGGGTCACCATCACAATAACAGGCAGACTGATTTTCAGATCTGTTAACAGCTTTTTTTGAGGGTTTCCAGGGATTAGCTGCATGTTCTGATCTCAGTGTGCCATTGTGCAGCCTCAACCTGTTGCTTCATCACATCCACCTCCACTCCCACGGCAACAAACTGCACTGCACAGTCACTGCAGAGTTTAAATTCCAAAATACTGAACAGCACTGCTCATGCAGCAGCAGACCTTCCACTATGGAGAGGCTAACAATGAATAACTATCAAAAAATATGAAGGGAAAAAGGAAAAGTTCAGTCATTCTGCATGGATCTGAAACGTTTAACTTCAACATTACCAAGAATATCAGTGAAAAATACATCAGGATTACCTTTATCAGGGACACATGGTACTGATGGGCAGCAGGTCTTTTCTGGAAAGAGGATCTGGATGAATTTATTCTGGTTTATTGTTAAATTCCAAGGACAAACACTGGGAGCCTTGTTAATCTTTAACTGTGAGGAAGCTGACAAATCTAAAAACCTGAAAAATACTCCAGTATCTCAGCTCACCATGGAAAAAGTTTTGATCACCAGAGGAAATGTATCAAGTTATCAGAAATTTCACTACAATCACATGGATGGACTCCCTTTTTATTACACATAGTACTATTCTGAATGAGCCAGCATGATTTCTTTTAGATGTTCTGTACCTCTTAAATTCATAAAAGTTCAGATACATTAAGCAGGAATCAGGAATTTTTAAGATAACTTATTTTCCTTTCATAAAACCTGCATTATTTACCTTGATTACCAAATTACAAAGCTCAGTAAATAGAAATTAAGCGTGTTGGCCCCCTCAAACCTCCGCAGCATTTTCATTTTTAAGTGTTCCTTTAAAGCAAGATTTTTAAGTGGTAACAGTTGTTAATATTTTTCTTCATGGCTATGGAAGTTTTTTTCACTCCTCAGTTGTGCTTAATTTCTTGTGAATTATTCGTAGGAGAATTATTCGTAGGAGTAAAACGTATGGAAATGTTTTTGTTAAGTGGAGATTAAGCTTTGACTATCATTTCTTTACCCACTCCTTGAATGTAAAAATACTCTTTTGGTGATGAAAAGTAAAGTACACTGCTTAAATTTCAATATTTTCTCCTAGTTTATGCTAATAGCTACAAAGACTGGCGGGTTCTGTGCCTAGAAATAGTTTTAACTACAACACTAAGAAAATTAATTTTTTGGTTGACTAGTGGGACTTTTTAAAATTCCCTTTAAAATGTAATTTAAACTAGAGAAGAATATAATTCCAAAATGAAAAACATTTTAAAAAATTGAGGTCAACAACAGGATTTTGGCACCTGTTTTCCCACCAGTTTTTTAATGAGAGCAGAGCATCCAAATCCTCTTTGGACAGCTTTCAAAACAGCAGCTCCAGCTTCTTTATTAAGATTTTTTGGGGGACACAAAGGTGGCCAATTCCAGCACTCAGGCCCATGAGGATCTCTCCAGGGTGGGGCAGCCACGGGACAAGCAGAGGGGGAGAGGGACAGACCAGAGCTGGGGCTGCCCCTGAGCCCCCTGCTCTGTCTGATGGAGCCTAAGCCTGGTAAGGATCCCCCAGCACCACTGGGAATTAGGAACGCCCACGAGGCAACAAGCTCTTGGTAGGCAAACCAAACCCACACACATATCCCCTCAAAAACCTCCTCCCAGCCCTGAATCCCGTTTCTACCCTCTGGAAATGCACCCCACTTCCCATGGCATTACTTAGGTCATCCCTCTAACCCCACCCCTCTCTTCTATATTTTATTTTAAGTTTCAATAGGTACATACAGAGGGAAGTGAAGCCCTGCTACTTAATGTGTTCAGTTTCCTGAATTTGTCTGTTGTGCTTGATCTTTTGCTGTTGCACATGCACCTTATACTTTTGTAAGGGCCTTTTCCTGCAGCTGCCATGCAAATAACTGCACATTTTAGATAGCTGAGGTCATACCTAACTGGGTTCCCAAATTTAACTTTGAACTGGCCAAGAGGTGAGCTGAGTTTCCCCCACCAGGATCGCTGCTTCCTCAGCCTGTGAGCCTATTCCCTGGGCTGTGACAACATGGGGAGAGGAAAAGGGGCAGGAAAGAGGAAATCAGACAGGTATCTGGCTCTCTCCAACAACCAAAGCATCCTTGCTGAGCTGAGGGACATCACTCCCAGAGACCAGCACAAACACATTTCTCACGTGCATTTGCATAAGCCAAATTATCAGCTGCTTGTTGGGCCGCTGAGGTTTTTTTTTTAAGCAGTCCCTTTTGCAATTCATAATCTCCATGAAGATAATTCATGGCATTTGGTCCAGCTCTTTCAGCTTGTGGAGCAGAGCTGGCTAAGCTCCTGGCAGAGGGCGCCGGATTAAATGCAGGTAAGGGTTATGAATGGTGAGCTGTAATTTACTGACAGCAGCAGGGGGGAGACAGAGGGCATGGTGTGGTTTTCAAGGCATGAATTAAAATTCTCTGGTGAAATGAGGCTGCTTTGAGCTGATTAAATTATAAGAAACGTGCACCTGGGCAGCATAAAAATCTGATGTCCTCTCCCTGGAGTTTGACTGATAAAAGAAGTGATGTACGTCATAATTTCTACATCAACTGAAAGTTTAATACGTGTAATTGGGAGCTGCTTTTCTTCTCTGAAATTGCAAACACCGCAAAATTGCAGGCTTGGTGCCACTGATGAGTCATTGTTGGCCTGCTGGACCTGTATTACAATGGCCATACACAAAGAGAACCATGACACCCCAGTTTACCATCATTATCTGTTTCCTTTTCAGTTGTTTCCACAGCTGAGCAGCTCAGACAGAGCCTGGGTCGAGTAGCAGGGGGAGGAGTTGTTGAAATGGTAGCTTTTAAGGGAGATGAGTTAGGTATGATCTCAGCCATCTAAAATACACAGCTATTTGCATGGCAGCTGCAGGAAAAGGCCCTTACAAATGTATAAGGTACAACAATATCAATAGAAAAATGCAGAAAAATGAACACGATAAGTAGCCGGGCATCATCTTCCTCTATATGTACCTCTTGAAATTTAGAACACAATATAGGAGAGAATTTAGTCTAAAATGGCAGCTAAAGATAACTTAATATCCACCAAAAAAAAGTCAGCAGTTCAGTTGTTGAAGCACTTCATTGCCAATGATTTCTTCTTTAATCTTGTTTTCATCACAGCTCCAGAAGTCTGGAATGGAAATGTAGACACATTACTCTTTTCAGACACTCCAAATCTGAATTTAAAAACCCCAACTGCTTTAAACTGGAGGTTAACAGAGCTTATTAAGCAGTTGAAAGCATATAAATTACAAAAAGAATGTATTCTTTCTTTAGAATTAAAGTGGGGGGAGCTGAAGAGAAATATCCATACTTGCTAGATCAGAGTAATATTCATAATTTTTAACATTATAAAGCAGAAATATTTGGGGGGGAAAAAAGCTTATGAGAGTCTAATCTGCAGTTCATAATATATACTTGCATAAAAAAGGTCAAACTTCATGGTCACTATCACCTTGGAGAGAATTAACTCCTTGAATTAGGGTTGTACTCCCCCTTTCCCTGAAGAAAAACCACATTCCTCCAAATCCAAGCCCTGTGGTGACCACACAGCATCCCTGGGATACACAGCAAGGCCTGGACTGGGTTGATTTTTTACACAGCCCCTACACATGGTCAGAGGAGTATTTCTCACAAGTTGTTGGGCACTGAAATATCATCTGGATAGATCTGGCATCTCTATTGCAAAGAGGAGATATCAGTAAAATGCATAATAGCAGACAAACCTTGATATTATTTTGTCTGACAATGGGCAACCACTGTCACTGGCTTCACAGAAGAAAAGGGAAAACAGGCACTGATTTTGTTCCCAGTTTTACTGATGTAACAGTAAACCCTCTTTTGTTAAAAGCAGAAATTTTCTTCTCTAATGCATGAAACTTGCAAGGTGAGTAATTTATTTTAACATAACTTCATCCTAACTAGAAAAGGAATCCAACCTGTGGTAAACCCCTCTGGTACCAGGGCTAACCACAATTTCTTCTCCAAATAAAACTGAAAGCTATTATTTTCTCCATGAAATGAAGTGAAAATAAGGAAATATGAGAACCTGTACAAGTTAGATTTAAGCTACAACCAATAGCAGCTCTTATGCTGCAGGCACTCATCATTTGTTTCCTCAGGGATTGATACAAAGGGAGAAGTCCAGTTTAGAGTAATCAGGTGGAAAAGCCCATGGAAATCTCTGGACAAGTGCTCAGAATAGAGAGAAAATAATTGTATATTGCATTATTTTTCCTCAGACCATAGAACCAACTGAGAGACAATGTATTGGTTTTGGAATCTGTTTGGGTTTTTTTCTGAACTAGACAGATAGGTATATCAAATTAACGTTTATGTTTATGAGTAAGAGCCAGTTACGTTTTAAAATTATTTCAGACAGAGGACACTTCCATGATCTGGAATAAGAAATTGAGGCCTGGCAATATGTGGTTGTGGCATAATAAAAGAAAAAAAGTCTTACTGTCACTCAGTAAATAAACATTTTCAGTCATCCCTAACAGTGACAGCAGTCTGGACAAAATCACTGCACTCCAGCTGGTGCTTTAGCAACCTTGGTTTTTGTTTTTTTTTTTTTCTTCCAGATTATGAGAAATAATAGGAGAAAATAAGGCAAAGGAGCAAATGTACATGTAAAGTGTTGAAAGTAGGCTGGTCCTGGGAACAAATTATGAACTGGACACAAAGAACATTGAGCCACAAATGAGCATAGAAGGACAGAACTGCTTATTTATTAAACAATGCTCTTACTTTCAGTGCACAGTATCTTAAAACTGCCTCACTGGGACCATTACCAGAGCAAATTACTGCTCAACATGAATAAATGTGGAGAAGTCTGGGTCTAAGCTTTTAAGTGGTGGGGTTTTTTTAACGTTTTAATGTGTTTTAAATTGTTTTTATTATTATGCACAGCTACATCATAGTGGCAATTCTCTACAGATGAAGCTGAGCTGAGCTCTCTGTTGAAAGGTCAAGGCTGGCAACAAGTGTTACTAATTAGGGACACAGGCACAGAGTGAGTTATGTTTCCTTAGATAAGGGAAAGGAAAGAGAACCTAGCTGTTGTTTAACGTTACATGAAATCATTTGTGTTTCTCCACAGCTAGAGTTTAAAAATATCGTGTAACCATCGTCCTGGTTCTGAAGCTGCCCTACCCCATAGGTGCAGAATCACAAAAAAAACCCCAAAAAAACCCAACAAAAAACAAACAAACAAAAAAATAACCAAAAAAAGGGCAGGTATACACTAGGCTATCTCCAACTTCAGAAGAAAGCTTATCTATCACAAAGGTTCTGTCAGTCTCCCCAGAAGAGGGGCTAATGTGGGATTTCTCAATCAGAATGCAGCTCAATGAATCAAATGTCAGCACGGGGGAGGAGGTGATGAGAATTCACCGGGAACAGGGAAAGCAGGAGCTGATACACAAAAGCTGAAAAGTCTATTTTGCGAGGTCAGAGAGGTGACAGTGGAGACCACTGAATCAGAATGATCTTTTCAGGCTGCAATTCTCATCAGGGTGAGGGATGCTCTCTTTGAAGGAAAAAAATGTTACAACTATTACATGGTACAGCTGGTACTCAAGTGTAACTGGAAATGAGAACAAAAGTTCACCACTGCTGGCACCAGCTTTCTTTGCAACATCAGAAATACCTGTGAATATTTGGAATTTGGGAACTAATGGCCTCTGATGGCCATCCACAGTCTAGTTAGATAAAGAGTAATGCCTTCTACTCCACTTCTTACATTTGCTATGAGCTCGCACTCTCACTTTGTACCACTTTCAAGCAGATCAGCTACTGACAAAGTGAAACAAAGCATATTAAAAAAGGCAATGTTAAAAAAAAACCCATGACTTATTAGCGAATGAAAGTTAATTGTTTCCTTCCAAATCACAAGTTAAACCAGCAGGTTGAGAATCACCTCTAAGACAAACACTCACACCTGAGTTCCTATTATTGAGGTGATGGAGACTATGATAATCTACAGAAGTGAATGCAGAGGTTGCACTCCTGACAGCTTTAGATTGCTTTGTCTAAATTAATAACAACTCTGAATAAAAGCCATCAAGTCCATCTGTACAGTCTCACACTTAACTTTTCCATTAGTGTCACTGGCCTCCCGGGGGCCTCTTCTTGTACTTCATATGTTTATGGACAAGACATAAATGACCCCGTATGCATCAGCTGGTCTCAGTGAGCATCTCTCTCCCTCTCCTCCTCTTCTATCCATCAAAACTCTTCCCTGTGATTGCACCACATGCCAGGAACACAGTCATACCTTGAAATGCTAAATGAAAGGCCTACCAGCTCATCTGGGAATGCTTACTCATGCAGGCTCGGTGTGAAGCAGGGGCACTGCAGCTGATGAGGCCGCTGCACCTGCGTGTGTGAGTGGCACAAGTGCCTCTTGCAGACAGATCCCTCCCGCTTCCCGCTCGGCTTTTCCTTTCTCCTGCTCAGCAGGCAGGAAGTTTAGGAGAAATAGGGGGTGTGCATGATGAAGGCACACACAGAATGTGTGAAATAATAAACCTTTCACCTCCACTCAAGGCACAGCTCCTGTCGTGAGGCTCTGGATGCGGCACCGAGCTCCGGCTCAAGGATTCTTGCTCAACCTGGGATGGAGTCACCAGGCTGCCTGGGGAACACAGGTAACACTGGAATTAAAATCACCTCAGAGGACATCTCTTTATTCTCATGGATTGATTTATTTTGTCACTGTGACTCGAAAGATCAGATAATCAACAAGAGCTGTTGTCAAATGAGTGTTTCCCAAATACATTAAAATGCTCAATTCTAGAGTTGCGTTTGGGTCCCTAAAGGACTTTCAGGAAGGCCTCTGGGAAAAAAAAATGCTTGAAAATAGCCTGAAATTCAGGACAAACTGAGTTTGGCTGCTCCCAATCACAGTTCTGCTGAGGGACAAGAATTACCCCTCACAATGATGCCAGCTGATCCGGTGAGCAGCTTTTCCTGTGGCACTTACTGTTAAGCACATGGTGTGGCCTGATGGGTTTATGATGTGGACAGACAAGCCCTGAAGAGTAAAACATAGAGACTCATTGCCAGAGTGACCTACAGCAGAATTAAAGTGAGGTCTCCAAAGGTGGAAGGGGAGTGTATCCATCACCTGCTCCTTGTAAGCACTCCCTCAGCCACAGAGCTGACACCCAGTATAATTCATTGCCAAATCAGCTTCTGGACACAGGATAATGAAATACTATTTATTGATTTGCATTTTCATTGCAAGGCAGGAAAAGAAGCCAGTCAAGCTGGTTTGGTGTGGGAGTTTCAAAGCACTTGTCTCGCATATAGATAATACATTGATGTTTTATTGACACTATAGTTAAATCTTACAGCCCATAAATATTGGGCTTTCTCCTTTCTAAAAAAGGAAAGAAATTTCAGCACAACAAAGCATATGTTACAGATTCTGAAGTGATCCTCCCTGCACACTTAGTCCAGATTTCAGGGTGCCTGCTCCTTTTCTATTGTGGCACTTGCAAGAGGCTTAAACTAAATTGGAATAAAAGCAATATCAATTTGAAATTAAACACATCCCACATTAACACAGAGGCAAAATACCTGTCTGCACAGAAGGGGGTCTTTCAGGCAGAAAAATCCTCACAGGAAAAGCTTTGATTAATGGCCTAACTATGGGTTAAAATAACTCTTTAAAAATATTGTAAATATACCAAAATTCAAAATTATTAAAATTCTGCTTATTAAAATGTCTTTATAAAAAGACAACTTCAGGAATAAAGCAAAACAAAAGCATATTATAAAACATCTTAATGGTCTGTTCTCTAGTATAAATATAACTGTTTGTCAATAAAATTATGCAAATGGATCTTGGCTTTTATTGAAAATTCATCAGTAGCAGGAAAATGCCAGAAAAAGACAAACTCAGCACCAAAGTCACAAAGCTTTTTGCCACACTCCTCATTCTGTTTGGAGACATGAAAAAAGACTGCAAAAGTTTATGGAAAAATTCCCCATTGTGTAGGAGTTTAAGAAAAAATAAAATTAAAGCACCCTCAGAATAGTCAAGGCACAAGTAACAAAAACCAGGACGGCATTAGTCCAATGAAAATTTACACGAAACCAGAACACCTCACTGTTTGTCTGGGCTTTAACAATTTTTCTCTTTTTTTCTCTAAAACTTGCAATGTTTTCATCAGGCAAAATTTTGCTTGATGCATTTAGATTCATTGCTCATGCACTGATTCTGCAGAAGCTGTAAAAATACCCTGAAGTCTAGAGACACCCTTAAGTCTCTGACTTCAATGCAAATTAAGCCTGTTTTTGAATGGGTACTGCATAAAATAGGTTATCATTGCGAATATTTGGGATTCAAAACTCACTTCCCATTTTTGTCCCATAGAATTAGCATAGCATTTATTGCTCCAGTGAATATTCCCTTTATATTCCTTAGAATATTCATGGAAATTAAATGGAAGAGAGGTACAATCAGCTTCATTGAAAATTCAAATGAATGTTTTCTATTTTTGGCAACACTCCTCACACATCATTAAAAACCAAAACAGTTATTCTGTGCAAAATGCAAATAAAAATAAACAAACAAACAAAAAATGCCCTGGCGCTCCCTTTCCCTGCCATTGAAAATGTCCCCTCCTGCCACTCTTCCTCCTCCTCCTCGTCATTCCCTGGTGACACAGGAGCCACATCCTTTTGGGACTTGCTGCTCCCAAGAGATTTGGTTGATGTGGGCCTGCAGCTTCCAGGAGAAAGAAAAAGGGTTGAGGATACAAAATGAGTGTATAAAACAAGCTGATACCAGAAAGAACCACAACCTACTCCTCCCCTTACTCATTTCCTTCTCCCCTGTCAGCTGTGTGTCATGTACAATGGGTAGCTGCCTAAAAATGGCAAAAAAGAAACTTAAAAAATGAATTTTATGATGAGGTGATGCTCTCCAAATGGAAAGTTGCAAAATAAGTGGTTGTATAAAGCCATCCAATGGCTTTGTAATTTAATTTAATTTTTTTCCCACTTTCACTACTTCAAAACTGTTTTCAGCACACTACTTTTCACAGTGACATCAAAACTATCTTTTCACACGAGGACTTGAAATCCCTGCCACTATAAGTAGACTGAACCCAATAATGAGGCCCAAGGAAGAGGCACATTTGGGTTCCATGTATAAGGGAGGGGAAAAATTACACAGCACCTAATCCTGGCCAAAATCAGGTGGCAACAAGATCACCAGTTCAGCCCATTGGATGCACAACCTGCTGAGAGCTGAAAATCAGCTGCCACCCTGCCCAGAGTGACAGGGACACATGGCCTGGGGACAGCTGGGGACAGTGTGGGTCATGGTGTGGAGCTGCTCCCCTAAACCTGCAGGACATTCCCCATGGACAAATCACCCCCCTCTACCTGCAGGCCCTTCACCTTTACTCACTTCTCCCTGAATATTTATTTTGGCTTAAAATAGGAAATATTAGGAGAACACCTCACACAGCAACATGTTTTTTACAAAGCAACTTGGAGGAGGCCACTCTGTCAAACCCCAGCTTGACACCAGCTGCCATGAAAGGCTGATCCATCTGAAATGTCAATACATCATTTCAAATGTTCTCACTCGGAGCTGCTTGAAGCATCCAAAGGCAGCAAAATCAAAGGGAATGTTCTCCCTTTTTCAGGAAAGAAAAAAAAAAAAATAAGAAAAAGAAAAGGAGTGAAAATAGAAAGGCAATTAAGTTTTCCCCCTAGAAGCAGCCCCTTCACATTAAAAGGGTGATACTTCAAAAAGCCAGTGAAGAGGGAGACAGTGTGTGTTTCAGACAAGTTAAGTGAAGAATCCAGGACAGAGTGATAGGCCTGTCATGCAGGAAATCCAGCATTTCAACTAAGAGTTAGAAATTAGAAATGAGCTAGAAGCCAAATTAGTTCTCTATGCACAGTGCCCACCTAAAAGCACAACACTGGCAAAGGCACTCTCATACTCCTCTCATGAGGGATTATCTGCAGAGCTTTGGCTTTGTGTCTCATCAAAATATTAATTGTGAGAAAAAAGGACAGCCCAGCCAGGACATGCAGCTGATACTGGCCTAGAAATCAGATTAAAAGAAAATAAAATTCAGTGCTTGGGGACAAATTTCTTCAGACATTTCTCCTAGCCCCAGGCAGAGAACAAAGATCATGTCTTGCATTTCTACCCTACCATGGTGGTACCATCACTTCTGATGGCAGTCAGGGGTTGGCAAGGGAATTCTGAGATATTCCCTTCGTGCTCCCTTCCCTTCTTCCACGAGAGCCCCTCTGTTTCAGGCCTCTTTCATCTTCTTTTCCCTAAAAAGCCAGTCAGGAACACAGCTGGGATGCAGGGCCTGAGTCTCTTTGGGCTTTCCACCCTCTCTCTCACTCTAAAAGCACCAGGGCTGTTGTGATGCCAAGCCAACAGAGACAAGGAGAGGAAATCTGTACACTTCAACCAGGCCAGCCAGCTTCACTTTAAAGAGAAAGCCCCTGGGAAAAAGAATAAATATCCAGAAAATCAAACAAAAGTTCCCTTTGGAATTTTTATTTTTTTTCCACTGGTTTCCATGTACTTGCACAAAGCCTGATACCACTGAAATTCATGTGGTGTTTGGGAAGGATGCAAAAATGAGCACAGGGGAACCAAATACTATGCAAAGCCTCTATTTCTGGTAAGATTACTCTGAGCTTAAAATTGCCTGTCATTTTTATCTGTGTAGGAAATTATCTCTATCTTTAATGTGAGATTAATGGAGTTGAGCACTTCTGGATCACTGGCACTGGCTACAGTGCTCCATGGATACTTTTGTATTGAAATGATATTAAATCAACAATAAGGCCTCCATTTGGCATAAATTTCACAAGCACATCTGAAAAAAGAAGGAAGCACTTCATAGAAATAAAAAAAATATTCAACAATTTTTTTAAAAATAATATTTGAGGAGTGGGGGAGAAAAATTATTTCTATTGAATATATGTATCCATATGCTGTATTCTTTGATGTTATTGAATGCTTATAATCTAGGAATAGTATGACTTCTTTTAAACTTCATCCAACAGTCTTTAGCACAAAAGTACTTTTGTTCCTGCTTGTTCTGTTTGTCATTTTTACCATCATGAGCATATCTATTATTCCACACTATTAAAAGTTTCTAATAGATTTTTATTTTTCCTTGAGTAGAGAGACTATCAGAAAATATAATCAACTTTTAAAAGATGAACTTTTCACTTATTACTGACCACTTCTGAAAAAATTAATCATATTTCAAAAGAAATATCATATTCCATTACTCAAAAGAAAAACTTTTTATCAAATTCAATATTCTCTTAAAATAATACTTCCAAATATTACTCAAACCCTTCAACTTTTTTGTTCCATGTTCAAAAAGTTTGAGGTAAAAATTCCCAGAGACGAATGGTATCTCGAGGTAAGAACACAATGGCCATGGAGCACAGAGTGATTGAAAGGCAGATGAATATCTAAAGGCTTTTATCACAACTTTATTTGCTACTTTCATCCTCAGGTGTCTTTTCCAAAGTTGCCTCATTGCAAAAAGTGACAAAATTAATGAAAAAATTCAAAAAAATGCAATGGTTCAATCTAAGAGGTTTTCCTTTGAAGTGCTTTTTAT